GGTGGAGGGTTACGACACATTTATAAATAACGCGATCTCAACCCAAAAACGTTGATTATGAATAATATTGGTCGCGAAAGCCTACGTGTTAAACTGACATGTGCACATACTCGCAAGTAACGTGTTACAATTGTGCAAAGACAAAGGTCCCCCGTGTAGCCTGCACAGACCTTTGGGGTAAGTGCTCTTCAACGGGCGCCTATGAAGGCCGGCACGGCACACGCAGTCACGCGCGCGCACAGAGACACAACACAGGCACACGTGAACACACACACACAACAATATTGTACACAAATACACGTACGTACGTACGTGCGGTAACATTTTTAGATTATATACACGCAGACCCACCCAAGTATGAACACAAAAGACAAAGAACACCCGTATAGCCTGGAACAGACTGTTGGGGCAAGTGCTGTTAGCGATCACTTATGAAGGCCGGCACAACGCACGAGGGGGTGGGTGGCCAGCACCACGCCCGGCCGCCTTTGTCTCCCTCGTCGCGATGTTTACTACACGCCGCAGCGCGTGTTCATTTTGAGGCTGAGTCGAACTAGGGGAGGCCCGGGACCGGTTCAGATAATCGTCACCGGTGTTGGCCCTGAGCGGGAATCGAACTCGGGCTGCCGGGTTCGTAGCTTAGCGCGCTAACCGCTACCCCACCGCTCCCCCCCACACACACACTTATACACACATACATACATAAGATAAAGATCCCCTGTATAACCTTACCAGACTGTAGGGGCAAGTGCTGTTAGCGAGCACCTATGGAGGCCGGAACGGTACACGAGGGGGTGGGTGGCCAACACCACGCCCGACCGCCTTTGTCTCCCTAGTGGCGATGCTCACACACCGCACCAGGTACTCATTTCAGGCTGAGTCGACCTAGGGAAAGGCCTGGGACCGGTTCAGATAATCGTCACCGGTGTTGGCCGTGAGCGGGAATCGAACTCGGGTCGCCAGGTTCGTAGCGCAGCGCGCTAACCGCTACACTACCGCTCCCCACATGATGATGATTATAATCATCATCACACACACTTACACACATACACACACACATACATACACACACATACACATACATACACACACATACATACACACACATACACACATACATACACACCCCGGCACGTGACCCCCACCTGAGTAGGGGAGCGAACCCAGTTTTCCGTCCCTTCGCTGTTGCGCTGCTGCTCCCGCAGACGCCGCCGTTGCCTCTCCGCTCTGCGGCGCTTTGTACCCTAAGCTCGCGTCGAGTTGTAATGAAAACAATACAAATAGACGCACGTTACAGGCCTTGCGCAGACACATACATACACACACATACACATACACACACATACATACACACACATACACACATACACACACGTACATACACACACACATACACACACGTACATACACACACACATACACACACGTACATACACACACACATACACACACGTACATACACACACACATACACACACTACATACACACACACATACACACACACATACACACATACACAAACGCATACACACATACACATACACACACACACACGTACACACGTACACACACACACACACGTACACACACACACGTACACACACACACGTACACACGTACACACACACGTACACACACACGTACACACACACGTACACACACACGTACACACATACACACACGCAAAGACAATGATCACCTGTGTAGCCCACGCAGACGATTGGGGCAAGTGCTGTTGGTGGCCGTGAGTGGGAATCGAACTCGCGTGGCCGGGTTTCGTAGCGCAGCGCGCTAACCGCTACACCACGGCTCCCCACCGCATGCACACAGACGCACATGCACACGCACACACACACGTACACACACACACGTACACACACGCACACACACGCGTACACACGCACACACACGCACACACACACACACACGCACACACGCACACACACGTACACACACACATACACACACGTACATACACACACACATACACACACGTACATACACACACACATACACACACGTACATACACACACACACACACGCGCACACACACACGTACACACGCACACACACACGCACAAATGCAAACGCACAAACGCAAATATCCCCGCATAGCCTTAACAGACTGTTGGGGAAAGTGCTGCTATAGCGAGCACCTACGAGGGCCGGAGACGGCACACGAGGAGGGGTTGGTGGTCCACGCCCGGCCGCCTTTGTCTCCCTCATGGCGACACACACACGCACGCACGCGTGCGTTGGCGGTGTTTATCGCACTCCGCAACGGATGTGTCCGCTTCTTCGTGCAATTCCACGCAGATGCTGTTCACAATTACACAAACATTGAGTTGTGAAAGCGCGTCCGAAGCAAGTCACGACTTTTTGTTTTTCACAGCCGTGACCCACGGCCACGCGCAGTGGTTGGAAGGCTTCTGTGGGCGACCTGATGGGTTCTCATCCCTGTCCGGCTCGAACCAGGTGATGATCAGTCACGTGGCCACCCGCTTGCGTGCTACAGCGCTTCGTGGTGTTCCAAAAAACAGGCACTGCTTCCCACGTCGAGGGTGATGATTGTGATGATTATTATGGTGATGATGATTATAATGATGATTATGGTGATGATGATTATGATGATGATTATGATGATTATGGTGATGATGATTATGATTATCAAGATGATGATTATGATGATGATTGTGGTGATGCTGATTGTGATGATGATTATGATGATGATGATTATGATGATGATTGTGGTGATGATGATTATGATGATGATTACGATGGTGATGATTATGATGATGATTATCATGATGATTATGATGACGACGATTGAGATTGTCTTCATCACCGTCACCGCCATTGTCATCACCACGTATTCGGGTCGATAAAGTGAGAAAAGCACCCTTACCGTAGGTTCGGCATTCGGTTCGTGTTGTGGGTTAGCATCGCGCTTGCCATAGGAACGTGGACATTTCCACCGCAGGATACGTACACCACTGCATGTACGTGGGACATGAATAATTCCCCTAATACGCGCATGCAAATAAACACATACTGACAGTACGTGTACTGTATAAACAAAGACAAAGATCCCCCGTATAGCCTGTGACAGACTGTAGGGGCAAGTGCCGCTAGCGAGCACCTAATGAAGGCCGGCACGGCACACAAAGGGGTGGGTGGCCAACATCACGCCCGGCCGCCTTTGTCTCCCCAGTGGCGATGCTCACACACCGCACACCAGGTACTAATTTGAGGCTGAGTCGACCTAAGGGAGGCCCAGGACAACGGTTCAGATAGTCGTCACCGGTGTTGGCCGTGAGCGGGAATCGAATTCGGGTCGCCGGGTTCATAGCGCAGCGCGCTAACCGCTACACTACCGCACACACAAACACACACACACACAGACACACACACACACGCACACAGACACACACACAGACACACACACACAGACACACACACACACGCACACAGCCACACACACAGACACACACACACAGACACACACACACAGACACACACACACGCACACAGACACACACACAGACACACACAGACACACACGCGCGCGCAAAACGAAGGTCCCCCGTGTAGCCCCACAGACCGTTGAGCCAAGTGCTTTTGGCCCGAGCTCCGCGCTGAATGCGTTTCAGAACGAGCACATCGGTCGGGTGGCGTGGCCGCGTTTGTCTCCCCACCGTTGATGTTCAGCATTACTCGTCAGGCACAGCACGTGTATCGACGGCCGGGTCTCGACCTCGGGTTGGTCGGGTTTTTGTTGTTGTTGTAGCGCAGTGCGCTAACCGCCGCGCCACCGCTCCGCACACGCGGACAGATGCACAAACCGCATCCGCGCTACGATCGGGAGCGAGAACCAGATGCCGACACCGCAACCACCACAACCACCACAACCACCACAACCACCACTATCACCACCACCACAACCAACACCACCACCACCACCACAACCATCTCCACCACCATCACCATCACAACCAACACCACCATCACCACAATACCATGACACCGCTACATCCATCATCATAACCACCACCACATCACCACCACATCACCACCACCACAACCACATCACCACCATGTCACCATCACCACCACCACATCACCACCACGTCGCTACCGTTCACTGCGCTACGCCGCCACGACAGAAATAAGAACAGGATGATACACGTGGCATTTCTTTCGCACCGCACGTAGCGAACCGTGTTGACGGCTGGATGAATGAATGAACGAACGTTGGAACGAACGAACGAACGAATGAGAATGAGAGAAATAGACCCTGCGACTCACGGCAGCCGCCTCTGCCGAACCACGGGACCGCGGACTTGGGAGGCGAGGCGAGTCGGTGGGGGGAGAGCGAGCGGCGCGGGGTGGGGGGGGGGGCACAGACGCCTGGTGCGTAAGAGCGTGAGACGAGCGTGAGAGAGAGAGAGTGAGAGAGAGAGTGAGTGAGAGAGAGAGTGAGTGAGACAGAGAGTGAGTGAGTGAGAGAGGCGATGCTTAACTGGAGGCGGTTCAATTAGCGCGTTTCCACGGAGTCAGCCACAGCGCGACATTGCGTGGCGGCCTGGTCTCAAATCCCGACTGCTCCTGCATCTCTCGCCCTCTCTCCATCTCTCTCGCTCCCTCCGGTTTCTCTGCCTACCTCGTTCACCCCCCCCCCGCGCTCTATTTTGCATTTCACGTCGCGTCCCCAAGACCCCTTCACCCCCCCCCACCCACATCACCCCCACCCCGCGCCCCTCCCAGCCCTGCCACCCTCCCTCCCTCCCTCTCTCCCACCCACCCCCCACCCCCCAACTGTCCCCTACCTACTCCTCCCTCCTCCTCCCCCTTCATTCTCCCTCCCTCCCTCTCTGCTCCCCCACACCCCCCGCACCACTCCCAACCCCTCCACGTACCCCTCCTCCTCCTCCCCCTCTAACACACCCATACCCACCCACCCCCTCCCTTGCGCGCGCACACACAGCGAGATATACACGTGCGTGTGCCAGTCGCGGGACACTGACTGCCGAGTGAGAGAGGGGAGGAGAGAAGCTGGGGAGAGCCACAGAGAGAGAGAGAGAGAGCGAGCAAGCGATAGACAGAGCTAGCGAGAGACAGAGCAAGCCAGAGAGACGCTCCACAACACAGAATCATTTAGAGAGGCGGCCAGCTTCAATAATCGCGTCTCTCCGAAGACATGGAGCGTTGACGGGAAGAGAGCGCGAAAGACGCCGAGAGCCGAGACGAGAGAGCGAGCGAGCGAACATCTTCCTCGCTTCGGGGTCCTATTCAAGGGAAGCTCGTCTAGAGACTTCAGCCGGCCCACGTCAGCCGTACGCCGCGCGCGTGCTCGTTACACGGCGCGCGTGCGCGTGAACTCACCACGTGAACTCACCGCGTGAACTTACCGCGTGTACACACGGGCAACGCGCGTGGTTCGTCGCGTACGTGGCCTTGAATCCGTCTTGCCGCTTCTGTGCCATCTCGCTCGCTCTCGCTCTATCTCGTGCCACAATCTCTCTGTCGGGAGGAACTCGAGCGAGAGGAGGAGAAGGAGGAGCGATGTTGCCACGTTCCATCGCCCCCACCATCACCACCACCATCACCACCACCACCATCGCACCGAACCGCGCCACGCTGCCGCTTAGCTAAAACTCAAAGCGCGAAGAGAGAAGAGGAGAGAGGTGGGGGGGGCGAGCCAGTTTGTTGGGAGAAGCGACTTTGACAAGCGCTAGAAGAGAGTGGTCGATCCGAGCGAGAGAGACGACGACACCGACATCGTCAAGAGATCTACTCCCAAGACGCTCCGTTGCTCGCCGTACTCCCGGCCCCAGACATCTCATTGAAGTTGTCGCGTCCGTGTCGACTGCTGCTGCTCACTGCTGCTGCTGCTGCTACTGCTGCTGCTGGCGGGGCCGAGCCGGGCTACGCGGCCCCGCTGTACGGACAGAATGGTGCACTGCGCTGGCTGTGAGAGACCCATACTCGACCGCTTTCTGCTCAACGTCCTCGACCGGCCGTGGCACGTGAAGTGTGTGCAGTGCTGCGACTGCAAGTGCCACCTGAGCGAGAAGTGCTTCTCCCGCGACGGGAAACTCTACTGCAAGAGCGACTTTTTCAGGTACGGGGGGTCGTGGTTGGTGGTGGTGGTGGGTGGTGGTGATCAATGTGGTGGTGTTGTTGTTGGTGATGGTGGAGATGATCAAGGTGATGGTGGTTGTGATCAAGGTGATGGTGGAGATGATCAACATGGTGGTGATCAAGGTGGTGGTGGTGTTGATGGTGGTGGTGGTGGTGATGGTGGAGATGATCAAGGTGGTGGTGGTGGTTATGATCAAGGTGGTGGTAATGATCAAGGTGGTGGTAATGATCAAGGTGGTGGTGATCAAGGTGGTGGTGGTGGTGGTGTTGATGGTGGAGATGATTGAGGTGGTGGTAATGATCAAGGTGGTGGTAATGATCAAGGTGGTGGTGGCGATGGTGGTGGTGGTGATGGTGATGATCAAGGTGGTGATGGTGGTGGAGATAATCAAGGTGGTGATAGTGGAGGTGGTGATGCATGTAGTGTTGGTGTTTGTTGTTGTTGTGGTGATGATGGTCTCAAAGTTCACCTGGCCTGGCACAAGCGCCGTGGTCACGTCACCGCCACTTGGTGGCGAATGACAGCTGTTGATGATCAAGGTGGTGAATGTGGTAGTGATGGAGGTGATTCAGGTGGCTGTGGTGGTGGAGATGATCGGTGTGGTGGTGGTGGTTATTATTGTGGTGATGATCGAGGTAGTAGTTGTAGCGTAGTTATAATTGTGATGATAGTGATGATGAAGTTGGTTGAAGGTGGTGGTGGTGGTCATGATAATAATTATGGTCGCGTGATGATCACGATTATGATGAATGTGCAGCTACTGCTCGCGATGAGTCTGGCTCCTGGTGCTACTGATGATGATGGTGCTGATGAGTGTTCTGATAGGAATGATGATGATGGTGATGATGATGAGAGTGCCGCTGATGATGATGGTGATGATTTTTCTGGTGCGTATGTTGGTGATGATGACGATGATGATGATACTGATGAAGGTCGTGGTGGTGGTGGTTGTTTTGATGGCTGTCCTGGTACAAGCTCCGTCTCGTAGTCTCCCGTCTCGTCACGACGCTTTCCGCTCCGCGCCGCTTGCCACTGACTACCGGCCGCGCGAAATTCGCCGCGAGCCTCTTTCCCCATCCGATCCCAATCGCCAACCCGCGCCACTGCGGCACGTCAAGGACCGTCAAAGGGTTTAAACATCTCCCGTTTAGCCCCCAACGCACCGGCGTGGGGCCTATGGCGAGATCGCGTTCATCGACGCCACGCACGGCCGCCTTTGTCTCCCCGCAGTGTACTTTTGTGTCGAGGTTAAAGACGAGAAACCCAGGGCCCGGTCGTTAGCGGAGTCATCTAGCTCGGTAGAGCGGTGCGCCGGCCGCAGCAGCGATGTTACAACCTCGACACACAAAGATCGCCCCCCACTCCCCCCCGTATCGCCTTACACGGACTGTTGGGGCGAGTGCTGTTAGTGAGTAGCACCTATGAAGGCCGGCACGGCATCGGTCTCTGCACAACGCACAGCACACGCACACACACACCACCTACACACCGTCACCAGCAACACACACACATCACACACACCACCTACACACCGTCACCAGCGACACACACATCACACATCACCTACCCACCATTACCAGCGACACACACACATCACCTACACACCGTTACCAGCACACACACAGATCACACACATCACCTACCCACTGTTACCAGCGACACACACACACACATCACCTACACACCGTTACCAGCGACACACACACGCACGCGCGGGCGCACTTGCATTATAACATAAACATATACACACAAACACACATATACATACGCACACACACACATATACATACACACAAGCACACACACACATATACATAGCGATTCACGGCGAGCGAAAATCTTCCCGCTACCTGTGGGCTTCAGCGTCACACTCCACGGGAAGCGAACAGTCGACATGGTCGGCTGTATTTATGGAATAGATGCGAATTTAGGATTTGTATCTTCTTGTAGCATATACATGTATATCGGAGGGTTAATGATGGGCGTAAATTAATTGACCAAGAGCATTTGCAACATTCATATAATTGCATGGTCGTGAGTTCCATTCCCGCTCACGGCCAACGCCCGGCGACATTGATTATGTGAACTCGTCCTGGGCATCGCCTAGGTCGACTCAGCCTTAAATGTGTGAGCATCGCCACGAGGGAGACGAAGGGGGGGGGGGCTCGGGCTCGTGTAGCCGTGCCGGGTTCCATTCACATTCACGAGTGCTCGCTAGAAGCGATTGCCCCAACAGTCTGTGTCGTGAAGGGCGCGATCTTTGTCGATAGGCTGAGTCTTTGTCTTTTCTTGTTTAACATACGCATGAATACTGCATGTTGCGCGCTTTTGTTGAGCGTACGTGTATACAATGTTCACGCGCGTTATACGTACACGTGCGCGTTTGTGTGTAGAGTTTATTGTGTTAATTGCGTGCGCGCGTGTGCGTTTGTGTGTAGAGTTTATTGTGTTGGTCGCGTGTGCGCGTGTGCGTTTGTGTGTAGAGTTTATTGTGTTGATTGCGTGCGCGCGTGTGCGTTTGTGTGTAGAGTTTATTGTGTTGATTGCGTGCGCGCGTGTGCGTCTGTGTGTAGAGTTTATTGTGTTGGTTGCGTGCGCGCGTGTGCGTTTGTGTGTAGAGTTTATTGTGTTGGTTGCGTGCGCGCGTGTGCGTTTGTGTGTAGAGTTTATTGTGTTGGTTGCGTGTGCGCGTGTGCGCGTGTGTCAATAATTGATACACACGTGTTGGTTGTAAGGACGCGCGTCTTCACGTGTTTATGATTTTGTGCGCACACACACACACGTGTGCGCGTGTGTTTAGACAATATCAGTGGCACATTTTAACTGCGCAGCGCACACGAAACACGCGACGGCCACGCTTGCATTTCCCCCCAATGCATCTGCTGTTGATATTAACAAAGATAACATTGTCAACGATAATATTACCGACGATAATAGTACACATCAATTTACATTTTCAAGTGACAGCGACACCCAACAATAAATATGATTAGCGCTGCTGCGTGTTGGATGTGCAGTTTTGTGTATCAACGAAAAACACAAATCGTGTTAAATATTTTTGTTAAATCATATTTGTTGTTCGTTTCCTAACTTTTTTTGTTATTACAAATTTAAGTCCGTATTACGACAGCAACAAACGTGTGTAAACACACGTAGAAAGATAATGGTTTTAAAATGTCATTTAAATATACAGTACACTATATATGCATATATTTGGCAGATTAACCAAGCACTGATTTCCTCATGCAGCAGTGGATCATGGCTGATGATGATGATTTATTGATGATTGATGGACGATGTGATTAAGAGAAACCCGGACATGGATTTAAAACAAACCGGCTTAATATTCACCTGTTAATTTTATTTTACTTGTTTTCTACGCACATAGACGAAGCGAGGTTGATTTCGTTAATTAAGTGCACGAGTTAGCAGCGGTTACCATGGTGTGAAAGTTTACAGAAGTTACCATGATGTGAAAGTTAACAGCGGTTACCGTGGTGTGAGAGGTAACGGAGGTTACCATGGTGTTGGAGTTAACAGCGGTCACCGCGGTGTGAGAGGTAACATCGTCGTAGTAAACATCGCCCGCTAGGGAGACAAAGGCGGCCGGGCGTGGTGCTGGCCACCCACCCCCTCGTATGCCGTGCCGGCCTTCATAGGTGCTCGCTAGCAGCACTTGCCCCAACAGTCTGGTGAGGCTATCCGGGGGATCTTTGTCTTTGTTTGTTTGTTGTTGTTGTGTATTGTTATACGTTGTGTTGTTTATTTGTACTTACGTGTGTACATTCGTGCGTGCGTGCGCGCGTGCATATGGAGGCGTCGGGTGTAAGGGTGACCGCGGGGAGCGGTGGCGCGGTGGTTAGCGCACGGGCGCTACGAACCCGCCGTGCCGCGTTGGATTCTCGCTCACGGCCAACAACAGTCGCGGGTGTTAGAACCGACTGCGCACCTACCCCAGGTCGACTCAGCGTGCGAACACTTTAGCATTGAATAGGGCGACCGATTCGGTCGGACGTGCCGTGCCAGCCTCTGTCGTGCCGTGCCACCCATTGGCAAGCCGTGCCACCCTCTGCCGTGCCGTGCCAGCCCCTGACGTCCCGTGCCACCCTCTGGCGAACCGTGCCAGCCCCTGGCGTCCCGTGCCACCCATTGGCGAGCCGTGCCACCCTCTGCCGTGCCGTGCCAGCCCCTGACGTCCCGTGCCACCCTCTGGCGAGCCGTGTCACCCTCTGCCGTGCCGTGCCACCCATTGGCGAGCCGTGTCACCCTCTGCCGTGCCGTGCCACCCATTGGCGAGCCGTGCCACCCTCTGCCGTGCCGTGCCACCCATTGGCGAACCGTGCCACCCTCTGCCGTGCCACCCTCTGCCGTGCCGTGCCAGCCCCTGACGTCCCGTGCCACCCTCTGGCGAACCGTGCCAGCCCCTGGCGTCCCGTACCACCCATTGGCGTGCCGTGCCACCCTCTGCCGTGCCGTGCCACCCCCTGGCGTGCCGTTCCACCCGTAATAGGCGCTCGCTAACACGTTCCCCAACAGTTTGTTAATGGCTCCACGGGGGACCTTTGTCTTTATGTAAGTGTGTGTGCGTGTGTACCCCGAGGCGTGGTTCACGCGTGTGTGTGTGTGCGTGTGAGTGTCTTTGTCTTTGTATGGGGAGCGGTGGGGCAGCGGTTAGCGCGCTGCCCCACGAGCCCGGCGACTCCTCGAGTTCGATTCCCGCACGCGGCCAACATTATCCGACGCTCATCGGGAACGGCGATTCTTCGATTGTACTTATCGGAACCGGGCCTGGGTCTCCCCGAGGTCGACTCGGCCTCAAATGAGTACCTGGCGCGATGTGTAGTCGTAATTGACTCATCGCTCACGGCACTTGACACAAAAGCCCGTGAAAGCTATACGGGGATATTTGTCTTTACATTTTGAGTGATTGAAAAGGCGTCACGTGTCTTAGGCGCGGCGGGCGGGCGGGGGGGGCGGGG